TGTTTTGTTTTTATTTTTTATTTTTATTGAAAGGTCCACACAGGAACAATTAATTATATTCCTATATTTTAATGTACCTCAGCAATTCAGGACTATCAGTAGTCCTCCTCTATCTTCCATGATCTCGCACCGAAATGACTTTTTTTTATATAAGATTTGTGCTTAAAAGGAGCCCTACTCAGCTCTTTCTGCATGTTTACATCATGTTTGAAAATAAATATGGTTTTGTTTGACTTGAACAGACTTTTAACAACTCTTTAACAGAAAGAAAACTGCAGCACTTGTTTTCTGGAGCAAGTGAAGATTTTCAACATTTTTGGTTAAAAATCGTCCATCTGTTCACTTGTTTTTCTGGTTGGTTCAGTTTTTAGCAAACTGGTTTCTTTAAACAAATTGCTGCTTAAAGAGTACATAGTAAATGTGACGGGCCTGTATTTCGTGGTGAATAGATTATTGACAGAAGCAGGGTGATGCACATTTAYTATGAAAACATGTTTATTTTCAATGAAAGATACTTGGGGACTTTGGGGATCRTCACCACTTTTTTGATAGTAAATTATTCCAGTACAGATGTATCAGCTAATGTTCTTAGCACATTTAAGCATTATGACTTCTTTTATTTTATCACATTCAARCTCGACTAATGCTTTCTGGAGAAATTTTTCATGGTCCAATGAGAAAGTAGTTTGGCTACAATGACAGGAAGTGTGTTTGAAGGAGTCGACATGAGGCTTTCAAACCTAAGAACTAGGGATGTCCCGATCTGATATTCAGTATTGGTATTGGTGGCAGATATAGCCTTTTTTTTTAAATCGGGTAGAATCAGATTTAGTCATGTGATCGGCCGATCCAGTTTTCAGCATCATCGTGCTTTACAACTGCCGTTAAGAAGTCAAGACGCACACAAGTATACAACCATGTCCACAGTGTGGGAACACTTTYCAATGGAAAACAATGATGCTGAAACTGCATCTTGCAAAATCTGCAAACTGGATGTTTCTCGTGGTGGGAACAGCAGGGCTCGCTTTAATACTACCAACCTTGTCACTTAGAAAGAAATAAATAAATAAAGCTATCGGAGCGGTATCGGAAAGACTAATCATTAAAAAAATCGGATTGTATCGGGAGCCAAAAAATCTGGATCGGGACATCCCTCCTAAGAACACTGAACTAACTGTCGAGCACAGCGGTGGAAGCATCACGTTAGCACAACACAAAGTGAATGATGGATGGAAGTCTACCTCCAGATTCTTGGAAACTTTGTAACGTTTGGGCGTTTCATCAACAACAATCGACAACAGCCATCAGAACTGGTTTTTATTGGGTAAAACAGGCTAACGTTGGACTTTTGGAGTGGCCTTCCCAAAGCAATAAGCATGTGATTAAGGCTCAACTTTCTAATAGAAATTTGAACTTACTATTTGTGGTGGTGTATGGACATTTGTGGGCCTGAGAACACCTGCAATGAACTCAAACCTGTGCACCCAGTTCTTGTTTTTCAGAATTATTGATGTTTTATGCARTAGGATCATTAGAAGCCTGGAAATAATCTGACACCCATGCCCACAACAAGAAGACAGAAACGTCTGACTCAAACTGTGGWGTAAGATTTGTGACACACACAAGTCCTGTCATGTCTTTGAGAATTTTAATTTCACTGTACGCTTTAGAAATCTGATGGCATTAACTAGCTAAATTGCGTAAGTAGGTGGAATACCAACATTAACTGGGACAGGGACAGGGTTGTTGGTCGACAACGCTGCACCTTTGTTCCTGAAGGTTCTTAYGTTAACGCTGCACGTTGATGCAGTTTGTTCCAGCTGAGTATAATGAAAGTCATGGCATTGTGCTCCAACACGTATTGTTGACTTTCTGCCTCACCTTCAAAGCTCGTTGTTCTGAGGCAAGGAGAACAGGAAAGTGCCAAAGAGGTTGAGCAACAGTAAATTTGTGAGTGGAGCACATTCCTCAGCCATGGCTGAAAACGGCTCTCCTGTCAGAGCTTGTCTTAATGATGGGAATGAAGAAACAAACTCTGAAAACTTCTCTTGTTCATTACTGCYGAGACAGCTAGTGATCATTACCCTGGTGCTGCTCTGGCCCTCTTTTGGCGAACTGTTGAAACACCTCACAAGAGTTTGGGTTACACAATACTCTGTTACAATGACATTTTGTTTTTGCCGTTACTACAAATCACAGGTCTGACAGAATGCTATCATTTCAAATTGGTCAATCTGGTGGTCTTGACAGTAACCTCCACGGCTTTAGACCAATATATTTAGTGATTTTGACAGTAATCCTGTTAAGCTTTTTTGTTTTAAAGATGTCCAAACATCTCGTGTGTAGTTTAAATGGATCTAAAGCTGGCCTTAAAAGAGAGTATAAGGCATTAAAATGAATCAGGACCTCAACTAGACATCTACATTTAGCTGACTGGCATCTCTCACCTGGCCTGGGAACGCCTTGGAGTCCTTTTGAACGAGCTAGCTGTAGAAAGAGATGTTGAAACCCAGTCCAAAAAAAGCTAAGCTTCCAAATTACTGGTCTC